CATTTTAGGTCATTAAAGGGATAGTTCACATAGAAATTAATTTTTGATATGTTTTAGCTTACCTCAAGGGCATCCAAGATGTAGGTGTCTTTGTTTCCACAGCATTTTACATTTTGATATTTTTCGGTCAAACCGTTGTTGTCTATCAGTCATATAATGGAGGTTAAGGGGGTCTACCAAAAAGCATGCACAGAGAAGTCAAAATTAAACATGATTTAATGACTCGTAAATATAAGTACACATTGATGGCCTAAGAGACGAAACGAGCGGTTTGTGTGAGAAAACGAACAGTATTTATATCGTTTTTACCTCTTGTAATCATAGCCATGACAAACTGATCTGACTGCACGGGCGCTTCGGCCTGCGCATGCGCTGGAAATGATCGCTTGCGCGCCTACGTCACTCTTTGTTTATACAGAGATTTCGGAAGTTTTACCTTTAACTAAACATATTTAGATATACGGGAAATCGCAATGGAAGATGATTTCGGTATAACTAAATATGTTTAGTAAAAGATAAAACTTCCGAAATCTCAGTGTAAATATCACTTCCAGCGTAACATTGAACTGATTCAGTTCGGTTTAGTTGGACATTGCACAACTGATTCAGATCACTTGGACGTGACTGTGATTACACGAGGTAAAAACGATATAAATACTGTTCGTTTTCTCACACAAACCACTCGCTTCGTGTCTTAGGCCATCAATGTGTACTTACATTGACGAGTCATTAAATCATGTTTAATTTGGACTTCTCTGTGCATGCTCTTTGACGTGGACCCCCATATCTGCATTATATGACTGACAGACAAGAACAGTTTGACCGAAAAATGTCAAAATTGAAAATACTGTGGAAACAAAGACACCTACATCTTGGATGCCCTTGAGGTAAGCTAAAACATCAAAAATTAATTTCAAAGTGAACTATCCCTTTAAATATGGAATCAAAACCAAGAGGGACTAGAAAGCCCGACTGGACAGAGGAACAGTGTTTACTGTTAGCCCAGTTAGTGGATGTTGGTCCATCCTTAAAATAAAATTCGGGCCGGGTGTCAATCTAGCATCACTGTCATCCATCCACATTTCTTCTCCCTCTTCCACTTTCTGCCATTTTCTCCTCTGCTAAAGAAACTCTTAAGCCTCTTAAAAGTCCTCGTCCGTACTCCTAACAATTTTGACTTTAAGACCTCTTTTTTAAGGGTTAAGATTCTTTCTGAATTACTTTTTTCTTTACTAGGATTTTTTCTTTAATTTAAAGAGTAAACGCCCACATTTCTAAGAATTGTCTTAGAATTTAGTCACTAGGAGCGACTCTTTGCACTAAGATTCTTTATTAATACGGACCCAGGATTGTTTCACGATTCTGATCAGACAACTAAACAGAATAACATGCAATTAAGGCTTAATCCCAATTCACCCCTTGGCCCTTCTCCTTAGCCCTACCCCTCTGTTTTGCGCATTCACGTCTAGGGGTAGGGTGTCCCGATTCTTGTTGAGATCGAGGGGTAGGGCTACATAGCCCTCGAAACGGAGATTTTTCAGAGGCGCACTCCAAACGGAGGGCAACGAGAAAGTTCACGGAAATCATCGCAAATCACCAGCGAGACGGTTCACAAATGGTCAAACATTTAAATTTAGCGCCAGATGATTTCACCACACACTTTATTTACTCTTATAATAACACTATAGTCGTTTAAATTAGGAAATGGTATAATAAATTACCTTTCCGATCAAAAAAGACATACATTTCGAGGAAGGGATATTATAATCATCATGTTTATTCAAAGTTAAGAGCAGCTGCGCTGATTGTCAGTTGTTGTCATGGAGAAATCCTGTAAAAACTCTGTAACGGCAGACTCAGAGCCATCGCCGACAACTGATGACGTATCGGGTTCATGAAGGGTTGTTCCATTTTGTAGGGGAATATTTCAACCCCTTGGCCCTTGTAACTCTGTTTTAAGGGCCAAGGGATACACTCGAAAACAAGGGGTAGGGCCAAGGGGTGAATTGGGATTGAGCCTTACTGACAAGATGTTAATTGCTGCAATCTTGTATAAAAAAATGCTTCATTATTTTTAATGAATTATTTTAAAGTAAACAATTTGAGTGAATGATTCAATGACTCACTCTTAAAGATTTCTTTGTTGGATGAATCAGTGTTTTTGATTGTTCTCTTCAGAACAAGTACTGGCAGCTCATTACCCAGAAATCATCCAGTAATTTTACGGATAATGCCGCAACACTATAACACAACACAATGAAGTGCAAAATTTTAAATACAGGGGAAAAAAACGTTTAAAATATAACAGAAAATTCTGTTAAATTAATACAGTACATTGTGCATTTACATATTATTTTGGTTTAGTGTATATGAGACAGTGAAGTGAGAAAGAGTTGATGATGATGATGATGATGTAATCTCAGATGTGTATGTGAGACTGATCACATGAGGAAGCATTTCAGGGTCATGTGCACAGATGAATGAAGCTCTTTTCATTTCTCTCTCTTGTGAACTCTAGTGAATCTGAGTGTTCGCTCCAGGCGTAGCGGTGTGTTTACTGTAGCGTCTCACACACACACACTCACTGCTGTGATTACATGAGTGCTGTAGAAACGGCCCCAGGGCCCGCTGGACCCTGAGATAGACCCACCTCTGACATATTGGTCAATCCATCTCTTTCTTGTTTTTTTTATGTTTCTTAGATTATAGATTATATTTCTTAGATTAAGTATTTCTTATATGTCCCTCTTTGGCGAAAATCCCAGTAGCACCTCATTGCAGGACACCAGACGCAGGGGGCGGAGTCGGATCCAGATCTGAGGGGTGGAGTTGGGAAGGTTTAGGGGTAGGTTTAGGGATCAGGGGGTGGAGCTGGGTAGATGTACTTAAGGTGGGAGGAGTTGGATCTGGATCCGACTCCTCCCAGTGGATTTCATGTTCTGCAGTGAGGACCATCTTGAAAATCTCTCAATGTCTGTCTTTGGTTTTGGCAAATATTTAAACAATAAAGTATTAAAAAAGCTTGTGACTAATTCTCTTTACTCCATTGGCTCCTCAAATTGTCAATCAATCCTCATAACTCTCAAATATATATACAGTGGTGGTTATATGTTCTGCAGTGAGAAATTTCATTTTTTCTTTTTTAATAAATGTGCAAAAATGTCAACAATTCTGTGTTTTTCTGTCAATATGGGATGCTGTGTGTACAATAATGAGGGGAAAACGAACTTATACTTATACTGAATATATATATATATATAGAGAGAGAGAGAGAGAGCACAAGCATGTTGTTAATCTTCAAATAAAAACTGTAATGCTCAATTTTATATTTTAATTATTGCTTTTTTATCAATCATTGAATATGTAATTTTTTAGGTCGTTAAATACGTAGTTTCATAGTTTGTCTGTTATTTATCTCTGTTTTTCTGTCTTGTTGAAGTCAGTTTAGGTGTTATTGCATTAGTTTATTTAGGTTTCCTGCTGTGTGATTGTGTTTGTTGTATTAACTGATATGAAGACAGATGTGACAAGCTCAGAGGGGGGCCGCGGGTCCTTTAAACGTCTTTAAAAAAAGTTTTCCTAATAAAAGGCCTTAAAAAGTTTCAAAATGTCTTAACCTGTTAAGTTACCCCCCCTCCCACCCCTTTTTTTATATACATGAAAATGCACATTTCTAACTTAAATGGTCGTAATTCAAGAATGCTTTGGAACATAGACATAAGATTGGTCTCGTTTTAAAGAAGACATTTGGCAGATTTTTCTAGAAGTGAAATAGATTAAGAAAGTGAAACAGAAAAAAGTTTGAGTTTATGAAAATGCACAATGTAAAACAATTAATTATTCATATTTTATATTAAATATATGTTTCCAAAACGTGGGCGACTCTAAAACTGCAAAAAAAAAAAAAAATAAATAAAAAAAAAAAAAAAATAATCAAAGCCAGAAATCTGAACAAGTTGTGTTACAAATTTTAGGTTAATATCTCAAAAAAGAGCTTTTGTTTGTGCGCAGTGCCGAACGCTTCCACTAGAGGACAACCAGACTCCATTACTGCCCATACAAGGGCGCATCCATTTTCATATGGGTTTTGAGTGATATACCATTATTTTGTCAATTTTCACACAATTTATGAAGTAGACATCCTATTCAGAAGTAATATGAGAAGTTTGGCAGATTTTGGTATGAATTCAACCCCTCAGAAACATAAAATAACAAGTATGTGCGTTATAGCTCGCTTCCACATCACTAAGTGGTTTCTACCCTTCTTTCATGATTTTTCATGTCTTTTTCAAAATAAAGGTCTCACCACGCCTTAGGAGTATGATAATTATTCTTGTTGCAAATTGATAAATTACGGCTCCTCTGTAATTTATTTTGAAAATCAGATTGTAAGCTTTCAAATGATATATAGTTTGTCAAGATTAGTTTAGGTTTAGTATTTCTGATCACGTTACCGCTAATATTTCTCCAGTCTAACGGACCCAATGTCCGTCAAATAACCAGCGAAGCATCGAATCGCGAGAATGATTGTGATTTTATTACATAAACAGAGATTGATAATGATCATATATTTCTTGGAGCGCTGTTGACTCGCCTGGCTCTGTGAGATTTTCATAAAAGCACATAATAACATAAAAACTCACAGAAGAAACATTGAGGTGAAAATTCAAATGTTGAGTTTTATATTTATAACATATGATATAGTTTAGTAACATAACATGACAGGAGCTATTTCTGAATATTCTCACGATTGCAAATTTTAGTTCAATAAACATTTTAGTTCAATAAACAAGTTGTTAATATTAAATTACTTCGGTTAAACATTTAATGTTACATATATGTTTGTAATATAATTTTTCCATCACAGTTTTAGTCTTAAATTTAATTTAAAGTGGCATTAAAAGGTCTTAAATGTAACTTGTTTATATCTGTAGACACCCTGAGACTGTGTGTGTGTGTTGCATTGACTGATATGAACACGTGTGTGTGTGTTTTTGCAGGTTCAGCTCCAGCAGCACTATGACCGATGGAGATTACGACTATCTGATCAAACTCCTGGCTCTGGGAGACTCCGGAGTGGGCAAGACCACCTTCCTCTACCGCTACACCGACAACAAGTTCAACCCCAAGTTTATCACCACCGTGGGCATCGATTTCAGGGAAAAGAGAGTGGTTAGTGTCCGCGCCGCCGCCTGTGTGTGTGTGTGTGTAGAATAGATGAGGGTTTCACTACCCGTGAGTTATGAGCTTTGATCTGTCCTGTGAGGTCGACCCTCCATCCTCATGTAATTGGCTCATAAGTCTGTGTGTGCGTGTGTGTGCGTGTGTGAGGGTGATAAAGTTTATTGCTGCGGATCATAAAGTGTGAAGAGGACTTCACACACACTCCAGTTGTGTTAGAAGAAGAGCAGCTCTGTCACTGCACTGAAGCGGCGGGAGCAATGAGTTCAGGTGTTTGTTGAGATGCTGACGTCTGTCTTATGAAGCTTTACAAGAGATCTGTGAAGACTACTGCTCACTCGCTCTCTCTTTCTCTCTCACCCTGTCTCTCTGTTTCTCGCCTCTGTCTCTCTCTCGCTCTCTCTGTCTCTCACTCACGCTCTTTCTCGCTCTCTCTGTCTCTCACTCGCGGATCTACAGATGATGATGCTGTTTTTGTATTTGTCAAAATGTTGAAATCACATGTAAGAATAGATTTTAATTAGTAGTTTGATGAATGATCTTGGAAAATGTTCCAATATTTGGTGTCACAAGGAGGCGCTCTGCTCTGTTGTAGAAAATAATCTCATTTTCAAGAGTGTGTTGATTTAATGTGATTTTATTTGAGTGTTGTTTTTTACAACTGTTTTAATAAAGTATTTGTAAAATCTCAAATCTCTCTCTCTCTCTCTGTTTTTGTCAAAAATGGCTTAAAATGGTTCATTGTTATTTATAAATGCATTAAAGGGGAACTCCGGACCAAATTAACCTTTGGTCTAATAACACATTGGTACCTACTATATTGGGGCATATAATAAGTAGAAAGAAATCGCTAGTTTATACCACTAATACCCCTTTTCCACCAAAAAAAGAACTGGTTCGGAACTGGTGCTCGTTCAAAGTTGGTTCGGAGTTGGTTCAACTTGCGAACCCGTTCAGAACCTGTTTGTTTTTCCACCGACTAGATCGCCCAGGGAACGACGTCGTTACGTCAGTGTGTACGTCGCCATATGTCTTAGCTAGAAACGCTTGCAAGTACATTACTTTGGAATTATCTCTAACTCGTCTACCAAGAAGGCTTTAAAAACAATTGAAATATGTAAGTCTTTTAATCTTTTTGTTTGATATGTAATCTTTTCTGATAAATTATGTGTTATGTGTCTTGTGTCTTTTTTTCTTTCCATTTATTTGTTCTATATTGTGACTGTTTTCTTCTTTGCTTATAATGTTTTCAATAAAAATTTAAAAAATAGAAATGCTTGTGTCAACTTCAAGCATAACAATTACAAAGGCGGACTCCATCGTGTTTCTGCAAATGTTTCTCTTGGCTTTGCGATCCTTTATTATGGTCAGAAAAGATGTTTAGAACACATCTAAACCCGCCCCAGCCCCCGACGTAAGCATGACGTGGTAAAAGAACGGTTCTTGTCCAGCAAAGAGTTGGTGCAGCTTTGCAAGCAGTTTTCCCGGCCGAGAACCGACAACCGAGAACCAGCCGATCCCTGGCTGTCGAAACACAAATAACTGGTTCGCACGCAGGCACCGGCTCCGAACCGGTTCTCAAAATGCTCTGGTGGAATATAGGGGCTTAACAAGGCTCAAAATAGCCCAAAACAGTAACATATTGAGGGTCCCTACATGCAAAACAAAGTATTGAGAACTTTGTAAGCGTACAGAGAGTTTAATAAGAAGATACTTTATAAAGACAGTCCACTTCATGTATACAGGCAGGAGCCATCTTTGGAAAACAGTCTCGACAATTCGAACCACGAACGCCATGCCAAGTGAGCTGAACTGTGTGAACAATGTTCATGGTTCGACTTATCGAGAAATACTTTATAAAGTATCTTCTTATTAAACGGTCTGTACACTTACAAAGTTCTCAATGCTTTGTTTTGCATGTATGGACCCTCATTATGTTACTGTGTTAGTGTGGGGCTATTAGCGTTATACGCTAAACAGTTTTTTGTTTTAGAGATAAAACTCTTTACATTCGATTATCATGAAAACAAACCTCAGAGAACGGTCGACTTGGTGCCAATTTGTTATTAGACCAAAGGTTCATTTTGCGCCGGAGTTCTCCTTTAATATACATATATATATACATTTTGTGATTCAAAATTTGAATCACTACTCAAAATTTGAATCACTACTCAAAATCCTTCATGAAGCATATTTCATACATTCAATTTCATATATAAATTTTTTTGGTCTATTAATGCATTTATAAATTAAAATGAAACAAGTATATATAAATACAATATAACTGAATAAAAGAAAACCTTTCCCCTTAGTCTTTTAAGCCATTTTAGACAAACACAGAGAGCGAGAGTCACTACCCAAATCCTTCATGAAGCATTTTCATACAATTTCATCAATTAATTTGTATTGTTCTTTTGTGGATTGCAAAAAAAAGCTGTTAGAGTGAGATTTCCACCTTTGAATCAGTTCAAACTTTACTGAATCAGTTCAAATTTTCCTGAATCAGTTCAAACTTCACTGAATCGATTCAAACGATGTCTCACCAATTCATATGAAATTGAATGTATGAAAAATGCTTCATGAAGAATTTTGGGTAGTGAGAGTTGGTGAGGCATTGTTTGAATCAAATCAGTGAAGTTTGAACTGATTCAGTGACGTTTGAACTGATTCAAAGGTGGAAATCTCACTCTAACAGCTTTTTTGTTTGCAATTCACAAAAGAACAATACAAATTAATTGATGAAATTGTTAAATCAAATATTGATTTCTTTTGTGTAATTTTGTGTAAGTTTAAATTCAAGTTGCTACATTTCATTTATTCAAGTTTTTTAAGTGTTTATTCTAATATACATTTTATTTTGTCTTTATTTGAATTAGCGAAGCGACTTCTAAAACGTGTGTTTTGTGTAACGGTCCGTGACTGTTATGAAGTGCAGTCTGACAGTTTAGAAGAACGCAACAATTTCACTTCGAGTTTGGAGGGTTTCAGTGTCTGGAATATATGAATGTACATGACTCACATTAACATAAGACCACACACACACACACACTTCCACCCACTGAACGAGCCTAAGCCAATCTGGAAAAGATCGATAATGAGAATGAGGCCTGAACTTCTCAAACACACTCACTGTATGAATCATCAAAGTTCAGATTGTCACACACACTTTATCTCACTCTCTCTCACACACACACACACACACACAATATCACTTACTCACTCATCCATTTTATTCTCCAGATTTTCCATGATTAATCCTCCATTTTCTCCAACATTATTAACGTAAGAACCGTATTTTGTGATGTTTTATGGGATCATCCATAAACACGGACTCCTCACACACTGCGTTTCCTCTGTAGATGCACACGATAATCTAGTGCTAGACACACAATCCTGATGTATTTCGGGTGTTTTATGATCTTCTTCAGTTCACAGTGTCTCCCAGAGACTCTTAAAGCATCTATCCCAGCATGCACTGCGGCTCCGCAGATCAATAACAGCGCCCATCTGAGCTAAACTGAACAGAAGTTCAGCAGAATCTGATGCTTGAGAAATGTGTGTGTGTGTGTGTGTGTTCTGAACAGCTGACTGCATGTAGTAGGTTTGCTTCTGTCTGATCTCTGATTCTCCTTCACACTGTTCCCTTTGTGAGATGTTGATCAGGTTTGGTTGTGTGTGAGATTTTGATCAGGTTTGGTTGTGTGTATGTGAGATTTTGATCAGGTTTGGTTACGTGTGTGTCCAGGTGTATACGACGAACAGCCCCAATGGAACGACAGGGAAGACGTTTAAGGTTCACCTGCAGCTTTGGGACACGGCGGGACAGGAGAGGTTTGAGTTCTTCATATTCATCATCAGCAAAAGCTCCTCACGTCTCACTCTCCCATCTCGACTGCATCTCCGGCTCTGGCTGCCAGAGACTTCTATTTATATTTAGATATTTCATATACAGTATATATATAGAGAAAGAGAAAATTGGATCTTTCTATTATTATTATTATTATTATTATTATTTATGGGTCTGAAATAAAGAATAATAATAATAATAATAATATAAATATCCAATTTAGATTAATTTAAATATTAAGTTAAATGTATTTTAAAAAATCCACCCTACTCACTATGGTAGTTTATTTATTTATTTATTTAAATTTTTCTTTAACTTCAATTTCAACTTTTATTTATTTATATAGCACATTTAATAGCAACATTGTTGCCCACAGTGCTTCACAGTTATGATTAAAACATACATTTATAAATACATTTACTAACCCTAGCAAATGACACACCCTCACACAACTGTACAGTGGGATCAGGAGAGAGAGAAAAATAAAAGTAGCTAACTTTAATTGAATTTTTTTATTTATGTAAATAGATTATAATAGTACATACATTATATATTTTTTTCAATTTAGTTAAAGTGTTCAATTATAATTAAATTAAAATTATATATATATATATATATGCGTACATACTGTGTGTATATAATTGTAAAAAAATTATGTATTGTAAATTTTTATATGAATTTTTATCTGATTCGGTTCTTTTTTTGATTCGGTTCACTCTTTGATTCAGTTCTCTCTTTGATTGGTTCACTCTTTGATTTGGTTCTCTCTTTGATTCAGTTCCCTGTTTGATTTGGTTCTCTCTTTGATTCAGTCCCTGTTTGATTCGGTTTCTCTCTTGATTCATTTCCCTGTTTGATTCGGTTCTCTTTTGATTCGGTTCCTCTTTGATTCGTTCTCTCTTTGTTTTAGTTCCCCGTCTGATTCGGTTCTCTCTTTGATTCATTTCCCTGTTTGATTCGGTTCTCTCTTTGATTCATTTCCCTGTTTGATCCGGTTCTCTCTTTGATTCGGTTCCTGTCTTTGATTCGGTTCTCTCTTTGATTCTGTTCCCGGTTTGATTCGGTTCTCTTTGATTCAGTTTTCTCTTTTTGCATCGGTTCTCTTTTTGATTCATTCACTTCAGCTGCTGCACTGGTGCTCTATTCACTGATCGTAGGACGTTTATGGCCTCAGTTTAAACACATTGAAGATGCCCGAGTCTGTCTCCTTTATCATACCGGTGAAGGTGATAATTGAACCCATAGAGACTGACACTGGTTCTAAAATAGCAAATCTGTGTCGTCTGTGTTTTATGCATATACATTTCTGCTAAAAAAATAAATGCAGCCTTGATAATACAGTTTAGCAACCAACGTTGTTTTGCTTAAATTGCAATTTTTGTTTGCCAAATGTACAATAAATTGATGGTAAGAAAAATTATATTTCAATACTTTTGCATTCTCTCACACGTCTTGTGTTTCCCCAAAATAACTTTTTTTTTGTCTGCCATCTTGTATTTTTCAATCTCTGTTCATTAGAGACTTAACCTAATGACTTAACCTTAAAATGTTAACCTTAAAAATCTTAATAATACCAAACTTTTGACCAGTTTATGTACTGAACCTGTTAGTATTGTCTTCATTTATTTTATGTCAATTTGAATGAATCTGTCATGAAAACAAGTTTATTAACCACTATTTTAATGTTTATTTTAAAACAATGAATTGGAGTACAAATATAATTCTGTTTTTAAAAAGTGTGCAGTTAAAAGTATAAATAGTTGATTATTGAGTAAAATTGATTGGGTTT